TTGTTTTATTTGTTTTTTCCGTACATATTTTCTAGACATATATTTTTTTTTTCGTACCTGTTCAGTTATAATTTACTGGATACGTTTTCTGTCTGCCTTCAATAAAATTGCAGATAATGTCTTCTACAAACTGTTTTATAAAAAAATTATAAAAGGTGAATGTTACCAGTAAATAATTTTACAAAAAGCCCAGTACCCCAACTGACCGAAATATTAGTTGATGATTCTATGCATTTTATTTGTAATTAGGTAACTTTAACCCACACATATCTTACAGAAACTCTAGATCTGCTGTGAGATATGTTCCATAATTTAAATGTCTGTTTCTATGTCTTCCACAGTGATTTTTATATATATATATATTTTTTTTTTCCCCGAAATGTGTGTTTGTAGCCGTTTCCTGCTACAAGACTGAATGCATACACCTAAATATAACATGTATTTATTTATTTTAATTTATATATATAAATAGATATTTTTTATATTCTAATAAATTAAAGAGGTAAATAAAAGTGCTATACTTTGTGTGATATACTGTATATCAGATTATTATTGTACAGATCCCTGGGCTCCTGTTCTCTCTGATAATACGTGGATAAATGCCCATTAGCAATGAGAATGTGTGCAGATATGTAATTGTAAGAAATTTCCCGTTTCACTTATTCTTCTTAATTAATTTTACACAATCAATAAATATATATTTCTCAAAAAAATGTGTTTACAATGATCAATAATATTATTCGGCAATAATGTCAGTGAATAATGCTCTGATAACCTGGTGGCACTCAGGATGCAGATAGAGTGATTATCAGAATTACTGCTTTAATCTGCGACCACACATGAGGGACAATTTGGAAGAACAAGAGAAGCGACAACTGTATCAAATTTTCTCTGGATGTGTGGGGGCGGGGAGATGTTGAAGGTTCCAGCCAATCAGCGTCATTCTCACGCCCATAATGCTAATTTCACTGACGCGAAGGAACGTTCGCATTCAGTCGCTGACGTTCCACTAGCCACGCCTTCTGGGGGTGTTAGGTTTCCGCCTAAGAGAGGCGGGTTCCTTCAACTCCGGATGTTCTATAAGCGTATTTAGCCGAGCCCTTGTCGCGTGACGTCACTGAGTAAAATCTGTCCAATCGTCGTACAGCAGCGCTCAGAGAGCCGCCTCTTCATTTGCATTATTTGAAATCTCGTTTCGTGATTGGTCAGCAGGCAGCCAGTTGGACAACAAAGATTCGGAATGGGGTGGAGCCGTCGCTAAGTGTCACATCGGAGAGGTTGTCTTGGAATTCTATTCCTCCTCCTCTTCCCCTCCTGCCATTTAACCTTTTCACCGCCGGCAGAAAATACTTAGAGCGCTCTGCTTGCTCTAGTCTATGACATCGCTACCTGTTTTAGCAAATCCTTCAATTAATTGAAATTCTTGCTTTTACTGGCTTCTGCTTCAGCTGCTCCAGGGAAGATTGTTCCAGTGTTCTTGCTTGTTAAACTCCAGCTGTTTTACTCCACACTTCCCTATCAGGATTCTTCAATAAAGTGAACAGATTATCATTTAAATGGAATATAAAGCGATATTGTTAGCTTTATTGCTGACCAGGAAGGACTTTATTATTATTATTATTTTCACTTACATATCTAAAATTCACTTTGAATTCTTGACAGTTCACTTCATACCCTTCAACATTTACATATCCCTGCTTGATGGTCAGCCAGGCTTTAGTGAGCATTGTGTGGTATGTAGGGACTGGATGGGAATATCCAGGGTTTAGTGACCTAGTCTTTGTAGTGTATCAGAATTGGTTGGTTAGGATAATTGCTATTTATAAATACAGTATAAGATATCCTATTAATCATGCTTAGTATAGTTACTGCATTAGTGCACATTATTTGTATATATCAATGTATTCTATGAGAGAGAGATAAATGTGTATCCTAAGAATGTGTGAACATGTATATTGAGAAAATAATGCAGTCAGAGGGTTCTGGAGACTTCATAATAAACCACAAGACCTATGTTCCAAAAACCCAAGACAGTATTCATTTTCCCTAATGCACACTTTATGTACGTTTTATATTACATGATATCTTTAGGTTAGTTTAAGTGCTATGGTACTGTAGGGGTCAGTGTGCAGTTTAGGGGTTCATATATAGTGTTAGTGTAAGGCAGGGGTAGGCACCCTACAACACTCCAGATGTCGTGGACCCCTGTAACGCTCTTACTGCCATAATACTGGCAAAAGCATCAGGGTAAAAGAAGTCCACAACATCTGGCGTACCAAAGCTTGCATTGCCCTCCTGTCGGGGTTAATGTTTACTGGTTAAGAAAGGACTTTACGGGTTAAAGGTATACTGTCCCTTACTACTAGATATTAGCAGGTAAAGTTAGTGTAAATGTTAGAGCACTCTATAGGTTAATGGTTAGTGTAGGGATAATGTGTAGTAAACTTGTGCATGGTAAGAAAAATTCCGTTGGTCCTAATTGTTTAGTCTGGAAAAAATATATATATATATGTTTTCTGGAGAGTTGCTTTCCTCCAAGTGGTGTTTTTGATCTGATGAATCTGATGAGTTTTAGAGAAAAATTATTTGGACAAACCATAATGTAGCAAAACTGCGCCTATCGGTGTACTACAAAATATATACAGAATATATATATATATATATATATATATATACATACATATAGATACACATTTATATCCTACTCACGCTATGTAATAATATTTCTACAGGCCCACACACTGAGTATCTGAAGGATGGGTGGGAGTGGCTGTGTGGGGGCTGCACTCGGAGAGGGAGGTAGGCGGGGGGGTTAGTTCATCAAGGGACAGAATCTGACCTTGAGATGGGCTGCTAAAAGCTATTTGGGATTTTGTAATGCATTCCAGCCACTTTTGATTGAACCAAGCTACCGGCTACTGACTGGATATTCCTCTTACTAACCCCAGCCTGCCATTAATTATTTTTTATTGTATTTTATTACAGCTCACTTGTGTACTATAGGTAAGTAGTCTTTCACATGTGGAGTTTTATGTTTTTATCCTGTCATTACATTGCAGGGTTACTGTATCAGTCTGTGATTTTGTTGTTTCCCATAGCACTGGGGTAATAAAATACAGAGATCCTCAGGTTTCTAAGAGGAAACAGCACAATTAGCTATTTTAATTAGTGCTCTAGATGACATGCATGCACTAACGATATTTACACATTAAACTCCTTTCTTCTGAATATAATATTTATTCCAAAAATATTTTACCAGGAAGGATCCATTGAGATTTCGTTCGTTTTACAAGAGATACTTAAACATCATTCAGTTCCTATTTAAATTAGTTCTTAAATGTATAACTGATAAGTGTCAGGAAGAATTTGTAATATGAATAATGACTTAACTATTACTGTAACAGTTTAAATGTTGATATTTCTGGTAGTCTGAACAGTCTTATTATTAGATTTGTACAAATGTAATTAAAAATAATTTTTATAACCTCTATTAAGTCAATGCTATTATTATAATTATTTCATGTAAGTGCAATTTTGTAAAATACAAAATCTGAAAATAAACAATTTTAAAAAAGCACAATTAAATTGTTGAACCATAATAACTTCAAGGATGGTGGTCTAATGTAGATTGTTGTAGAGTAACGCATCAGACCACTCATAGATCTATTTCGCAATAGATAAATGTGTCAAAATAATACAAAGTAGTTCAATCAGAGAAAATCCAATGCCTACCACAGGTAACACATACTCCTAGGCATCTAGATGGGGACTGTAAACGTTCAAACGACTTGCACATCAAAGAAAACAAAGAAATTTGAACCCTTTCTCAGTACTCTGTGAGTGAGAAAATCTGGTTTGTATTTTACCATCACAGTGTTGTTTGAAAAAGAAAATGTAAGCAGTCTGTAAATTTGGAATGTTCTCGTCTGAACGAAAACATACTGCAGAATCACTGACCAAAAACACAAACCAAAAGCACACATTTTGAATTTTAAAAAAAAACTTTTTAATGTAACAGAATACATTTATTTTTTATTTTTCAACCGTATTTACTTCCAGAACGTGTGGGTACCATAATCATATTTAAAAGCCTACAAATGCTTTCTTAATTTATTTATATTGACTACAACATTCAGGCTAATGAATATTTGCTAACATATCATTATATCTAAATAACTGCCTGCACTGCAGAATATATTAACAATTATTACTATATTCTTAATAATAACAATTTTGTTATGGTATTTAAATGATTTAAGTCAGATCATTCCCACCTCTGTACAACTTACGTTGTGTCAAAGTATAATTCATGGAAATGTCAACTTTATCCTCCCAGAGTCATTCAATAAACTCCGAATTGTAGTGAATTTGCAATCTGAATTTCAAAATCGAAACTAAAGTAGCCATATTGTTAATGCAGCTTAGTTGAAATTTTTTTCTAAATCAGCTATTAAAGCCACCGTTTTGCCATTAGGATTTCATTTGCTCAAATTCTGTGGTTAGTGAACAACCCTGACAAAGTTATTCACTAAACTCTGAACTGTACCAAACTAAAAAGCCAAATGACAACATTGAGGCAAAAATATCTAAGCTGTGACTAAATATTATTTTTTTGAATAAGCTATTTAAGCCTGCATTTTCTGATTTAAATTCGGTACGGTTCAGAGTACTCCTCTGTATACAGAGTGCCCTACTTAATTTTTTTTAATTTATAAATGTGTGTGTGTGTTTCATTGTCTATGAGCACAAGTAATGGTTGCTCACTCACATGTGGTTCCAATATATATGTGATGATTTAATTGCACTTGAACCGAGGCTAAAGGGTATGGTAAATGGATAAATACATCTCAAATTGCTCAGTTTATAAAACAACATAATGTCATATTCCCTGAATACTCTATATAATGATGACTTGAAAGTATATTTTTATAATATATATTATTATATTATTGACTCACAATTATACACCTAGTAACCCACCTACTAATTAATTGAGGCGCCTGTGAGTCTGTATTTAACGTTTCATTAAATTAATTTGTTTAATTGCAAAAGAACATCTAAATGCATATTATCAAAGGAAGGATTTGAAAACATCCCAAATTATGCAATATCTTATTCATAAAATTCACAGCTAAACCACTAAATAGTTGCCAATCAAGATTTACTTATCCCACCTAATAAAAGTTGTTGTTTTTTACTCTCACTCATTTTTTTCTATATTTCCCTGTTTAAAAGTTTAAAAGGCTACCAATATGCGATTTTTTAAAAATTATTTTTTAAAGATTTTTCAAAGTAAAGAGTGAAGAAAAAATTTATATAAAAAAAAAGAAAGCGGTGTACATCAGAACAAGTTCTCCCCCAAAAAACTTTTGCTACCTTTTGTTTCCAGTATATGATTTTTCATTGCTTTATTTAAATTGACAGAGCAAATTATACTTCCAAAAAAAATGGTATTCCCACATTTAACAATTTATTAGAAATAATAGGTTTTGCTTCTAAAATAAAATCCTAAATTTATTGGCAAAGCTTGTCTAGATTAACAGTCTCATGGCATAACTTTATTTTTTAATAATTTACTTATTTTATAGACTGCAACCAATTCAGAGTTTAAGAGCTACGTTTGGTCATAAAATGTGCAGCCCACGACTGCAAAAAATAAATAAATATAACTCTGCCTGAATAGGCTAACATTTTACACATTAATTGGTTTCTGTTCTACCTTTTTTCTCTAAGTGTTCAGGGACAGACCAATTTACTGCACTCAAAGGATTTAGCAAAAAGGTGTTTTTTTTTCACTAAACTTTGGATTGAGAATAGTTTACCGTGCTTTGCAAATACCAAGACCAAAATAGACAAAAAGGAAAAATTACATAACAGTTGGAAGATTTTTCAAATTTGGCTAATCTGGCATAAAATCTGCAATTGTAAGGGTCGATTTGCAAAAAAAAAAATAAAAAATCTCCAACGCAGCTATTTGTTAATGCACTGTATAACTGGTTTAAAAACATTTTTACAAAAATCAGAATTACAGAATTTTTGCATGTTCATAGTTACCTAATGATGGCTGAAAACATCTTCAACTGGCAACACATTCCATATCGTAATTGCATTTAATTGCTTTATCCAGTGCAGCAAGCCATTTCTTTATGTCCATATACTTTAAGAGTTCTTAGTCTGTAGACCTGTGTTCAATGCTTCGTTCTCAAAGACAAAAACATCAGCCCTTCACTTTAATTTAGAGAACTAATTGCAATGTAACTATAATTTGTTTTAGTGATCATGTTACGTAAGACAATGGCTGATGTCAATCTATCCTAATTTAGGTCAACAGAGAACATACAAGCCCTACTCAACTATTTTTATTTTTTGCCTATTTTATTTTGTTAAATGGTTTGTTATAGTTTAAGAACAGTCTGCTTTTTTTCTTTGTTAATGGATTTAGTCAGCATGTATCATCTAGTTCTGGGCAGTATTAAAAAAAGCCAGAAAGCTATCACTGCCTTGATGTGTTTTAACATGTAATGTCAGATATTTTTGTTCCATCTAATTCTCAATGTGTGATCAAGGTGGGGTTTCTAAATAAGAGGTTACTAACCATACTGTTAATATTCTGCATTCTAATTAAAAATGTATTGCCACCACAAATAGGAAACATTAAGGATTGCCATTGACTGTTCATTGCCCAGACAATGGGATATAGTGACGGCTATGTTTAAAAACTGTTGTGTGTGTTCTTTTTTTCAGCCTGTGCCACAATTTACCAAACAGTTCCAGTTTAACCCCTTAAGGACCAAACTTCTGGAATAAAAGGGAATCATGACATGTCACACATGTCATGTGTCCTTAAGGGGTTAATATGTATAACAGTTTTAAATATTACTCTTTGTGCTTTGACGCATATTTTCAACCTCTGCAAGAATGACTGTGGTACAATAAAGTGTTGGAAAAAATGGTTGCAGAATTGTGCCTCTAATTCCATCTGAAATAAATGTACCAAAAAAAAGACAAAAATTAAAGTATCGATAAAGGCAGAGGAACATTTTGGAGCTACAAATAAAAAAAAGGGACAAAATGAAAATTCAAAAAAAAAAAGTATAAATAGATATGTGACTATATAAACACACGACCACAAATGTGTCTGTCTGCTTGTCTAGGTTATCTATTGTCATTTTTCAAAATATGTAAATAATTATTATAGCTAATGCACAGGAACACATATAAGAACTGTTAAATATATTTGTGCCGGTTTGTATTTTGCTGAATTACATTTTTTTTTTTTTATGGTGCTATATAAATACCATAATAATAATAATAAAGTATACAAATGTTTCCTGGTTATTTATTATTGTGTAAATTGTTGTGACGTCACAGTTAATGCAAAGTGAATTTTAAATTTTAGACCAACCAAATTGCAAAAAACAACAACAACCAAAAAAAAACACAAATCTCCAAGCCAGTCACGTTTTCATTTTGGCATTTTGGATAATTGCATTGACGTAAGAAGCAAAGAAAATCTGGGTGGGACAGCCTTTCTTAATAATCCAAGCCCCACTTAGCAAAATGATATATTATTACTAGGGATTCTATTAGATGAATAGGATAACCAACCATCTTAATATGTGTTTGTTTTTCTTATCTTTCTTAACCACTTCACTACAGAGCACAGTTGATTAAAAATATTAGCTTCACGTTTATCAGAAGCAAGGGATGCATAACTAGCATACAAACATATCACAACACAGCTTTTTTTTTTGTATAGATTGCTTTGCAGACACACTTAAAATATGTACATTTACACCACTTTTATTTTTCACTTATTTGTGCATCCTTATAAATATTTTGAAAATGAAAAGCTTTAGACAGCACACAGCCTCATTTATCTTTCAATATTTCACAATATTAGAGTAAAAGCAAAAATGCATTTTTCTTCTCACGTGAATAAAAATGGTCAAAAAAGGACCCTGGAGGCATTACTAATAGAACGACTTACTGATAATGGAAAGAGAATGTAAAAATAATGTCTGCATTTAAGTATAATTCCAAATACAGTAAATACAGTTACAACATATATTTCTACAATACCGATATTTAAAACTGCTATAGAAAGTTTTACCAATCTATGGACTGCAAATGTAATGCTGACAGTGAGAATTGTATCACCCAGTAAAACTTCCTGTACCAGAGTGAACTTAGAGTAAATTGACATTTTCAGCAATTTTACATTAATTATATCAGTGACTTGTAGCTTCCGGCTGAGAAATAGCAATCATAACTTGAGTATGAGGTGAGGCTTTATAGACTAGATTGGGGGTACCCAAAAGGTAGATCCCCAGATGTTTCAAACTACAACTTCCATGATGACTTGTCATTTTAAAGGCATTCTAAAGACATGCAGAGCATCATGGTAGTTGTAGTTCTACAACATCTGGGGATCTACCTTTTGGGCATTGCTGGACTAGATTCTATACTGCAAAACACATGAAAATAAACCATTCATAGTCGATTCTGGTATTGAAGGTGTTAAGCATTAAATCATATGATCTTAAAAGGTACACATGATTTTTGGGAGGGATCAATGGGGAGGGAGATATGTCCCCTCTACCCCTCTGGTTTCTACATCCATGGCTATTTGTGCAAACATTTGAAAATTCAATTTGAATTCACTTTGAATTCCTGGCAATTCACAGTTTAGAGAATAAACCCGACAATGAAGGATAAATAAAACTGATACTTATTAACCAAATCATGTAAATTATAGGCAAGAGAATATATATACATTTTTTGCAGTGTCAATAATTGTCCATTATTTTATTTCCAAAATCTCTACAGCCACCACTTCTGCCAATCAATATTAATTATTCATCTGGTTTTATTTGTCTAAGCATAATTACATTTAAGAGAAGCAGATGTGCAATTGTAGTAGCGATTTTATGACAGCTTTATACAGCTTAAATAATTATTTAGCACAAGGACACGAGACTGAGTTAAACACACTCAGTATAGAAGAAGTACTGACGTATTAAGTTGATTGAATCGTTTTTATAATTTGAGCTGAAATCTAGCAACTTGAACTGCTCGTAACTCAATAAGTCACACTGACATTTCCATTCACCAGTAAAGATCCCAGTGTTGTCTGATCTACTTAGTTTCTAATCCTCCTGTGAGATCATCTCTTTAATCCCTTTTAAATAGTGTGTTTTTACTAAATCCCAAGGTATTTATTCGCACAACAGCAAGTTGTGGTGAGCTTACAAATGATCCTTGGAATTTAACCCAGAGAACGTGAGCTGGAAAAGTAATCTCCGCCTTGGCTGAGTCAAAGTTTAAACATATTCTCCTATTTTGGTCTAAATTATAAAGACCCCCTTGATATATTTACTAACATCTTTCTGCAGTATTGGGGATATTTTGCTCACACAGCATTATGTGTTTCTGTTGTCACTGGCCAGTGAATTGATGTCTAAATAATTTTGGTCATAATTCCAAAAATTGGCAGTTCACTTCACAGTTTAAAGAACACCAATATTTACTGCTTAATTTCAAGTACAAAGATAAGCTTTGTGGCTATTTTGTGTACTGTATCATAAATAGATCATAAGCCCATTTGAGCAAGGCCCTCTCCACCTCCCTGTCATATACCCGTATGTTAATTACTTATTGTCACATATCCCCATTTTTTAATTGTACAGAGCTGCGGGATTGTGGTTTACCCTCCTATGGGCTGGATTCTATTACAAGACTCAGCTCCGGTAACATTAATAGTTCTCTCATTGTCATCTATGGGTAAGCTTTTATTAACCCCTTAAGGACATAACTTCTGAAATAAAAGGGAATCATGACGGAATATTTCCGTCATGTGTCCTTAAGGGGTTAAAGGGACACTATAGGCACATAGACCACTTTAGCTCATTGAAGTGGTATTGGTGCAGTGTCCTTACTGCACTTAATGGAGGCGCTTCCTGCATCCAAACAGACCTTTGGCCATTAGCGCCCGCTTGTAGCAGGACGTCAGAGGAGGATGAGCCATGGCACAGCGCCGGGGTAAGTTAAGTAAATAAAGGGTTTTAAGCCCTTTATTCACCACTGAGGGGGGGTAGCTTTGTATTCCTGGCACTTATAAGATCCCTTTAAATCCCCAGTTCTGATCTAAAATATATGATAGAATCTAGACCTATATAATTGAACATTTGCCTTCCTAAAATATCATAATGATTGTGCTTCTGAGCTGCAGAGAGGTGAGCAATGTGTCATATCCATGAGGTACGACAGATTGGAGAGTTCTCAGAAGAATGGTAGATAAGTATCAGTCAGTTGAAATAAAGGTGTAGCAAATAATTTTAACCCATCAGAATTTAAAGATTTTATGTTGATTGTATGAGTGCTCAAAAATCAGGAGGTCAGGCCATTATCGTTTAATCTTTTTGGTGCAATGCCAGTGTAACTCCAGGTAATTTGCAAATATAGCATGCACAGTACTGTGTGCTGTGCACATTAATCATCCAGATATGTAGTGTGTACTGTTGGAGGTAAAGCAAACCAGTGATTTATTGATTTGATTTATGAAATTAAACATGAACAGTACAAATATTTCTCATGATTAAGAACTTGGTGTCATTCCAAAGCAGTTGTCCTGTAGGGTATATTCCACTTACATGAAGACAGTGAGAGATCTAATGATTGCATGTATAATAAACATCACACACAATAGTAATCTATAATAATCCTTAATCCAAAACAAAGAAATCAACCGCCATGCTTATTTTCCTTTGGAAAATGATGCTTTTAAAAAAAAAAAATGTATTTAATCTTTTTTATTCGATTTTGTATAAACATGTTATGAACATTTTAAAACAGTGGTGCAGAGAAAAATAGGTACATCAATTACAGTTCGTATATATATTTCCTTTACACCTGAATGGGTGTACATAGTCAGTGAATTTATATGGTTAAATGCATACATTTAGTGGCTATACATAGCTTTGTCTAGCTGGAACACTTAGATAGCATCCTCATGCTTTGCAACATTTCTTTCTTTGTATTCACAGGTAAATCAGTCAACTGTAATGAGCGTATCAATAAATTATCAACTTACTAATAGGTACATTACTAATCGCAAGGTAGAAGTTGGGTATGGGTTTTACAAGAGAACAACTTTGCGATTTGCAACATATGACCTATAAACGAACAGCTATTTTCTCTGATTAATATCAAATGTGGGTCTATACTCTTTCAGGTGTTAGTACTTCGTCCTTATCTACCTCCCTTAAAAGGTGTTCCAAGGTCCCCAAATAAGGGTGAATTTTTTGTAGTTTTTAGATATAGCATATGTGATTTCCTCCATTTGTTTTACCCCTCCCACCCTTTCGATCCATTCTCTAGTAGATGTTTTTTTTTCCTGTTTCCACTTAACTGGGATTAACTAGTTAGCTGCCATAAGCAGGCGGGAAAGCGGAAGTATTCCCTGTTTTTCCTGTATGGGTGGCCATAGAAGAAACAACGTATACTCCGGGGAGAAAGGTATCTGTGAATCGTGATGAGGTGAGTGAGTGTGTGTATCCATTTCCAAAAAGTGTTTATTAAGGGGCATTCCCACCATATGTGTGACGGGTGTGCGTCTGGTTGTTGGCATCTCCAGCAGGTATGTTGAGCACTGGTATGAAGTTTGTGCTTCTTAGCTGAAGTGTAATGCCAGCATGTAAGCCTTTTATGGTTGTTTTCTTGTGTAGCTGTGCATGTGGATGCTTTGTGTGCTATAAGGAATATTTGTTTTCACTGGAGCGCCGATATATTGATGTGTAATTCGTCTGACCGCTTTACCATGAATTTAGGAAGCTCGGGTGATCTTGTCTTTTGTATTAGCACATACATATTGGAGAGTAGCCTACATTTCAGCAGGTGTGATGTGCACATCCGCTCGAACTGTGTAAGTTCTCGCTCACCCCTTGGTAAGAGCTTCATG